AATGAACATGCAAATAAAATTAACACACTCATTACTAACTTCAAGAGAGCATCGTCTTTCACACTGACATTTCTTAGAAACCTGCGACATGCTAACACCACATCTTCTTCCTAGGGCCTAAATAGGAAGTTATAGAAACGCCTATATCAATATCCAACTTATCATAAATATAGTTATTGCAACTTCCACTGCTTTTAAGTTAAATCGATTATGTAAATCGAACATAAGGATTGACAATAGAGAGCAAAGTGACGAATATCACTTCCTAAGGAATTTGGGTAATACTAAGTTTTTCGAGGAAGTCCCACATTATTTAACACAACACCATAGAGTAGCATTTATTAATTTATTAAAATCACAATATCAACACACATTAGAATCAAAGTATCAAAAAATTGCATTTTCTAGTTTTCCACGTGGAAAACACTAGCACCCAGCTGCTAGGTACAAATGTTAGATACCAACCTGCACCCTTTTAAAGGAAACTGACATCCACCCCCATCAACAAATTTTGTCGAGTGATTTTAGTTTTCTCAAAAAGCTCCTAGACTCCATGGCATATAATATACACATAATAAAAAATACAATATAAATTCAAAAATTAGCAAAGATCTTTCTAGGAATAAAATTGAGGATTTCGCCAACCATTCAAGAAAAAAAAAGCGAAGAACCTGAATTATAGACTACAATTACTTAGTTAGATCCTCAGTAGTACTTAGCAATTGGCTGGAACACCCATTAAATCAGTCAAACCCATCCTATTAAACTGCAGCCATTAGTCGAAGGTTATAACTTTGGACGGAAACATCAAATACATGAAACAACAATTTAGAATAATCTGGAAAGAAACAAAAAATTAACAACCTGACTAAAGAGTTACCTTCTGAGATCCTCATTCATGAGTCATTGTTGCAAACCGAAAGAGAGCAACGAATTACCGAATAGTCATAGGATAATCGATTGGAAGTGAAAACGCAAATTAGGGTTGTTCGGTCACCGCTTATGAAATTTAGATAAATGGGCCTAGAATAACACGGATAAATTGACAACTTAAGACCATAAAGTTAATTCTAAGCACCATTCTTTAACCTTGCATTTAAGGGTAATCATCCTATGTTTCCAAGCTTTCCCTCTGTTAAGGGGTACAACTAGCAACAACAGAAGCAGATAAGAACTTGATAGCACTTTAGAGAAGAAAAATTTGACGTCACTAAGCTTGCACGAGCTGATCTGTTGCTGATTGATGTCTCTTACATCGTCTTCGACCTCGTCACAAAAACGGTGAGAGACAAGGAGAGCTTGTCGTCCAAGAACAAGTAAATTACGTAAATGGGGCTAAGGAAATGTGCTCAATAAAAAAACTAAGGGCATAAATGTAATTACACCATGAAAGCAGGACGACAATGAGCCCCAACTTCCGCTTCTAAATAAGTAAAATAGTTAAAAGCTTGACATAAATGACTTGAAAATATAAAAAGTAATTTATGTTAGTTACTCCAACTTTTCTGATCGACAATTTCATTCATATTTATTCATCATAATTCATAGACGACATGGAACTAGGATTGCTCCTGGGCCAGAGCAAATCGTACCGTTCTAGTTCCTACAATAATTCTTTGCAAATTGTTTTCGCAAATTCCGATAGTTCCAAAATAAGTCAATTATGTTGGGGCATATACTATTAACCATGCATTTGGATATTGTATATTCTAATAATTGTCATGGTTAAAAGTCTAAGTGGGAGATTGTTGGGATATATACTATTAACCATGTGTTTGGTTTAGATATAGTATTTATTATGAAATAATTATTTATTCAGTTTTAATAAAATTTTAAATACATCATATATTAGTATGTATCCTTTGCTTATATAGTAGATGATTTAGTGTATAGAGTTTAGCTTATACAAGGAAGATTAAATCATCGGTTCTTATAAGTATAAAGTTTTTTCACAATCTAATGATGGAATTGGACAAACCATCAAGAATGATTGTAGCACAAGATTAAATATAATTATCTAGATTATGGGAATGGTTTAATTTCAACTTCTTGTGCTAGTACATTTTGTATGTATTGAATGAACCAAGTAGAGATAACTGTTTTATACTGACTTAATAAAATAAACTCTCTAGCCATTAAATGTACTTATACTCTTAATCTTGATATAATTATTAGTTGTGTACATTATTATTATTTTAATTTATTAAAAGGCGAGATTCTTTCGTGGGTCAATAGCCTAGTAAATTGGATAATAATAATGTACATTGGCGAAGTAATAGTTAGTTGATGGAATCCATGTCTCGGTTTAGAGATTGATGATACACCTTTATGAAATCTTATAAGTTTTCATGTGTAAACCCAGCCTGTGGATTTTGTATCCTACACATGAAATAAGTTAAGCGAAAGTCTAAAGGAAATAATCAATAAATTAAATCTTCAGTAATTTAATTTAATTGACTAGTATCTGTATCTTAACATGGGGAGTTAACTAAGATTTAATGGATTAATTTTGAAATTGAATAAGGAGTGCAATTACGATTTTTTGGTGGAATAATTTGTAATTAATTATGGTGGATATTAATTTCAAAAATTAGAAATTAATTTCATAATTGGAAGCCTTGTTAATTAAATTATGCGGTCCCTGCTGTGCCTAAATAATAGAAAATAAAGAAATCCTTTTTCTGGTGGAAAAGAAAATTCAACAGGTTTTGGAAAAGGGGTTTAACCCTTAAAACTTGTGCTATAAAGACATAAGGTTTTCCACCTAGAGGGATGAGGACAAGGTGGCCGAAAATGTCAGCCAAACTTTCCTAGAAATTTCGCCCACACGAAATTACTATTTCCGGATATTATTTGGGTAACACAGTAGAAGACCGTGGAACGTTCGAGGATCACGATTGTGCGGGCGATGGAGATTCCATTGAGAAGTTTTGTAACTAAAGGCTCACGTGATAGAAGAGATATGTTCACGCTTCAAGAGGTAACTCGTAAAACCACGTATACACTAACTGTCTAGATTACATGTGATTTTACACTGTAAAAGCAGGATGACAAAGAGCCCTAACTCTCGCTTCTAAATAAGTAGAATAGTTAAAAGCTTGACATAAATGACTTGAAAATATAAAAACTAATTTATGTTAGTTACTGTAACAACCCGGCCGGCCGTTTCATGAGTTACCGCTCTGTTTTCCCCATTTTTGCTTTTTATTGTCTTGTTCAGCTGTATTATGTGTTATAGGGTTGGTTGGCTAGGGTTCGGAGAGGTTTTGGTAAGGTTTGAGACACTTAGTCTCTTTTAGTAAGCTTAAGTTGGAAAAGTCAACAGGATGTTGACTTATGTGAAAAAGGGACCGAATGTGAATTCTGATGGTTTGGATAGCTTCAGGAGGTGATTTGGGACTTAGGAGTTTGATCGAAATGTGTTTTGCAGGTTTGTAGTAGATTTAGGCTGGAATTGGCGAAATTTGGAATTTTGGCGTTCTCCGATTGATAGGTGAGATTTTGATATAGAGGTCGTAATGGAATTCTGGGAGTTGCAATAGGTCCATTGTGTCATTTGGGATGTGTGTGCAAAATTTTAGGTCATTCGGTCGTGGTTTGATAGACTCTTTGATCAAAAGCGGAATTTGGAAGATTTTTGGAACCTTAAGCTTGAATCCGATGTTATTTGGTTGATTCGATGTTGTTAGAGGTGTTTTGAGATTGGTATAAATTTGGATAGTGGTATATGACTTGTTTGTGCTTTTGGTTGAGGTCATGGGGGCCTCAGGGTGATTTCGGATGGTTGATAGAAAGTTAGGAGTTTGGAATTTGCAGCTGAAGCTGAGTTTTCTGTCATAACCGCACGTACGGCTTGGGGACCGCAGGTGCGAGCTCACAGAAGCGCCCAGAGGGTCGCAGATGCGTAATTGGCCATGGGGAGCTGGAACCGCAGAAGCGGCTATGTGAGCGCACCTGCAATAGCGCAGGTACGGGTGTTTTATCGCAGATGCGAAACTTTGATTTTTAAGTGAAAACCGCAGATGTGGTGCTTTGGCCGCAGATGCGGTATAGGGACAGCAGGTGCGAGAAGCCTGGGTCAGAAAGTATATATTTTATCCTTCGCAAATTTCAGCATTTCTTCACCATTTTTAAATCGATTTTGGAGCTTTTTGGGGGATTTCGAAGAGGGAATCCAAGGGAACTTCATTGAGGTAATATTTTTGATCATAAAACTCGTTCCTATGGTGTTATTTCATTGATTAGGCTTGAAATTTTTGAAAATTTGTGGGTAAATATTGAAGAAACTAGGGCTTGAGATTGAAGACTTTTGATTAAGGGGTTTGACGGGTCATTTGTGGTTGGATTTTTGTACTTTTGATATGAATGAACTCGTGGAGTGATAAGGATTCCATTGATGTAAATTTTGTTGGATTCCAAGATGTGGGTCCTGGGGTCGGGTTTGGTAAATTTCGGGATTCGTGTTGTAATTTGATTGCTTTCGAGTGAGCTTTGTTCCCTTAGCATATTTTAATGGTTATGTACTGATATTGGTTAGATTTGGAGCATTCGGGGGCCGATTCGAGAGGCAAGGGCATCGCGGGCTAGAGTTTGGACCGAATAGAGGTAAGTAATGATTTTAAATGTTGTCCTGAGGGTATCAACACTACTAGAAAATGGGTTTATGGCAACGGATGTTTTTGCAACTGTTCAAAAACCGTTCCTATAGATTGGTTATTGGAACGGTTTGAAACCATTGCAATATGACATGGGTGATACCAGCACACTTTAGCTATAAAACCGTTGCAATTACATAACAACCGTTCCCATAGTGTTTTATTTTTTGCAACGTTTATTTTAACCGTTCCAATAAATGTATCTATCGGAACAGATCTTGAAAAAAATTTAATGGGAACAGTTGTGATTTACCTCCTAAAATTTTGACCCCTCAATTTTCATAAACCCGTGCTACAACCCCTAATTTTTACATTGTTTTTTATTAATTAATATTACTTCATGAAATAACCCATTTGTTCTCCTAATTCCTTACCCTCTTTCCCCTTTGAGCGTACCCATCACCGAAGGCCAAAACCATACCTCTGTACAACCTCCATCGTCTCTACCACTATATCCCCATCAACCTTCGTCAACCAGCAGAACCTCAATTTTTTTTTTCCTTCACCTATAAACTTTATCTCCTCCACCAGAAACAATAACAATTCAATTAATCCAAGCTCCATGTTTTCAAATAGTCCCAAAATTCTAGGGTTTTTCTCGATTAAGCTCGATTGCCACTTCTTGTTCTCACTGAACCCTAATTCAAGGTTTTCACTCGACTCTCGCAAATTTCTGATTTGCATGATCTTCTTTTATACCTTTTCTAATATTTCAATAGTTGAGCCATAACTTGCATATATCATTAGCGAGGAAGGAATTGCAACTGATAGTTGTGGGATATATAATTGTAAGTTTTATTAAACTCTTTTTAATGTATATTTGGGATAACCACATTCGCTAGTTGTGATTTTGAATTAAAATTTCAGTTTTAATGTTACTTTTTACTCGATTCACTGATTTATATTTTTATTTTTAGGAGTAATTGAGCGATGTAGTGTGATTGAATGGAGATTCAAATCTACATGACACAAGCATGAAAACGTATTTATTGGGACTTTAAAATTACTGGAACTTGGGGTTTTGGTTTTTATTGATTTTCTTAGTTATCTTTATTCATGTAAAATTTCTGTTTTATAAGGCTTTTTTGGTTGCAAATTTATCTCTATGGCTATGATTTAAGAATAATCTTGTCTTTCTAATAGTTTGATGCTTGTGTTTGAAACTAATATAGAATTCGACTAATCTTGTGGAGTATTTTAATCCATCAGATCTTGAGTCTGTATTTATTATTCGCCATGCGGAGAGAGCCAATTATTAAACCAGAATTAGTAGAGGGCCAAAATATACCATTTTATGGAATTTGAAAGTGGCCCTTTTGCTCCTGTTCTATTTTTTCATAAGTTCGTCAGATTTTTCTAGTAGCTTAGGCTTTTGAGAATGAGATAAGGATTATGTAACATAAAAAAATTAGATATAGTCTCAGTAGATTAGCTAGTGTCGTTTAAAACTAAGTTCTCATTATTATAGATTAGCTAGTGTAGTTTGGTTCTATATATAAAACTAAGTTCTCGTTATAACTCTTGCCTTCTGAGTTCCAAGTTCTGACTTCTACAGAAAGGAGAGGGTTAACCACTTGCAAGATAATCGAGTGTGTAATGTGAGACGAATTGGGTTAGTATAGCAGCACTGAGTCATACTTAAGCTTTAAATTTTTTTAAAAGATGCACAATTGTTGTATGGTGTAATTTACCCGATGTCGTTTTGATAATAAGATGACAACTCTCTGAACATATTAAAATTTTAACTCACGATGTTTTAATTAAAATTGGGTTAGTATAGCAGCACTGAGTCATACTTAAGCTTTCTAATAATGACTCCTCCGCAATAGTAAGTAGATTTCGAAGCCTGTTAAGTTTGATTAGAAATTGTATGACAGTTTCAAAGAGAAGAATTTAATGTGGACTGAAAAAGTTTTAATTAACACAAATTATCTCAGGAATCATGCTAAAGTCATGGATCATTTGAGTCAGTTAAGCATTTCATGATTTTTCCTAACCATTGGGTTACTGTTGCCACTAGACAGTGGAAGGGATAGAGAAGGATGGGTCTGTGAATTGTTTTAGTTTAGTCCTAATAGCCATATTGAGGGAGTAACAAAGAATGAAGGAAAATCTTAACTCGCAAAAGGATGCTATGGAACAAGAAATTGTAATGAACGTCGTCACACAACTTCAGCGTTTGAACTCAGAATTGCGACTTGATCCTAAGATGCTAAGGTTCAGCGAGCACCTGTAGAAGCGTCTTCTGCACAACAAGCTGCCATTCAGCTAATCAATCGACCATCTACTGGTAGTAACAATCAGTACGTACCAAATGTTATACCTCTTCTATTTCTTCTTCTTCTCCTCCTTCCTTGTGCCGCTTCTTCTACCACTGCTCTCTTTCTCTCTCTCGAAGAGTCAGATTAGTCTAGTAATTTGTTTACTTTGCCTATAGCACTTAGTCGCTGCGTAATTCTATTTCCTTGCTAGTGTCATTACTATGATGCATATTCTTTTATGTTGCCTTGCCGACTCTTTGTTGTTGCATAGCCACTGCATAATTCTGTGGTAATTGGTAAAGTTGTTGCATGAGGGAGAAAATAGTCTTAGATTACATAGTGAACAAATGAAAAGTTGGGCCTCTTTTTCTATGCCTTATGGAATTTTGTATGTGCGTTTTGCTCAAATTGTACCTGCACATCTTTTGTTATATTTATAAGTGCAACTACTACTGCTGCCCTTCACTGGTTTGCAACTTTTATTCCCAAGACCATTAAGTCGAGATGATGTCTTGGTTGGCAACTTTTACACCCAAGACCATTAAGTTTATATATATCAGGCCATTATGTTGGCAAAGTTGTACTTTTTTAAACATCACAATCACCACACAAATAAGACGTTACTTACACTTTGTGTGAATATATATTTTTTAAAATTTGAACCATTTGAGAAAATATTTAGCTAATGAATTGGGTTTAATTAACAATGTAAGTTTGGATTTTGCTTATTCCTCTTTAAACTACTGCTGGAAAGGGTCAGTAACTTCTTTCCCATGATTTTCATTGAGACAACTATCAGAATCCCTCTCTAATTTTGTAGTAGGATAGAGGACTAATTTAAACTTATCTGAATTTCAAACACTTCCTTGACATTCAGCTTTTCCGAGATCCCAAGAACCTATTTTCACCTGAATATTCATGGAAAGAAAATTATCATGTACAGAATGTATATGCTTGGGACCTTGAGACAAAAGCTAAATGAAATGCACTAATAAGTAATACATATAATCATTTTAGTGTTTTGTTCTACCAAGCTGAAGCTTTAATAGACCAAACACAACAACATTTGGCTGCATGCAATCTTGAGGTGTTTTGCAAGCATAAGAACTGAAATAATGAAACCTATTTATGAGAAGAGAGAAACATCCGAAGGGCATTACTTTGTTGGATTGTTAGAATTTGTTGAGTACATGGAATTCTATGTCTAGTATAAGGATTGCTGATAACCAGATATGTATGCAAGTTAGTTATCAGGAATTAGCTAGTGGTCACTGTCACACCTCCTTTTTGCGCGCCCCGCCCCGAAGGGTAAATGCGCGAGGGGAGTTTTTCCAATTTAAGTGACAATATTCGAAATGGGATTATTTATTTAATTCAGAGTCGCCACTTGGGAAAGGTTTGGTTTTTGGTGTCCCAAGTCACCGGTTTATCTTGAATCCCAAATCGAGGAAATTTTGGACTTTTCCAAATGAAGTCTGCGAACCAGAAATTCTAAGTAAGGAATTCTGTTGACCCGAGGGAAGGTGTTAGGCACCCTCGAATCCCGTGGTTCTAGCACGGTCGCTTAAATTGTTATAATGACTAAATATCTGATTTAAATGCTTGTTGTGACTTATTGCTTTTATTAAGTTTAAACCGCTTTTATTATCATCATTTATTTTTATAGAATTGCAACGTCGTGAAAATGCATCTCGAACCACGTCACAATCAATGCACCCGTAGTTGTTAACACATTTCGACTCCGTTGAGATTTGAATTTGGGTCACATAAATGCGCACCCGAATTTAAGAATGTAATTTAATTAAATCGCGCCTAAAGAGTCTAACGCGTTATTATCTTTGGGGAAGGCCATGAAATTCACTAAAAGGCCTGTCCTGAATTCTAAATATTTATTATGGTTAGTTATCGAGGGCCCCGCAATTTGCATTTTTATTTGGCGAGGCTCGTCTCCATTTTAGAAAGGATATCCTAAAGTGACTACATTTCTAATGCGTTTGTCTCTAAAAATAGAAGAAGAAAGATATATGCTAATTCAAGTATATGCTTTGGCCTAATCCGGATCCTTATCAATTTCTGATTAATTATTTATAAAATGAAGAAACGTCATACCTTATGAAAAATGCTTCAATTGGACAAAGAAGTTACATACGAGATTGACGAAATACAACACTTAATCCGAACAACATCCTTAAGTCGGATTTAAATTAACTTGCTTAAACAGGATTAATGGAATTCCTTATTAAAGGATGTTACCGATGATGTTCAAAACTCGTCCTATAAACTGCTTAAGGAAGTCGAAATTGGGTGTTTCAAAACTGTATTATATTTGGCTAGATTTAACAGCCATTCGCCCTTACCTATTCAAAGCATGCTAAAAGAGTGAGTTTAATTTTAACAATCGTATTAAATAGTTGCACATTCCATGAATTGTATTTACATCCTGTATACTTCTAAACGAGTCAAATGTCGTAGTTTCAGATCAGCATAAACTTTAATTAAGTACAAACTTACTAATGTATTCTCTATTAGACTAACAGACTAAAACTTACACAGCTTAACAACATTTATAAAAATTTGTAAGTGAAGCAACAGATGATTATAATTCTTTCGGATCTTTCGATTCAACTTTCATTGCGACATCAGTTACATCAGACAGATTCGAAATGTGTACCTGAGGAGATGCTTACAATGAAGAAAGCAGGGGAGTCAGTTGAGCAGCAGTGTAAACGAAACAGCATCAGTAACAGATAAATAGCAGCAGGACAAATTCCAGTGCAAGATGCAATTATAGACGAGGGAAGAGGCAGCAAAATGACAGCAATAAGCAGGGGAGTAGAATCAAAATTCAGACAATCCAATTCCAAGAGAAACAACCAATACGAACCAAACAACAAACTTAGCTGATACTTGGGAGAAAAACAGAACTGATTTGAACAGGTTGAACCAACTAAGAGTCGAACAAACAGCAGGAAGAAAACAGTTTCTGATTTTGTATGTTTTTCTTTCTCGTATGTCTGTCTGTATAAGCCCCTCTATTTTTCCTCTCAGTATCTCTTTTCTTTTCAAAATCCAGTGCCAATTTTCAGTTTCGAAATCTACTTGAGTTATCAAGATGAAATCTTTTCCAGTTTTCTGTTTTTCAGAACTCAGCTCTCAATGTTCAATCTGAGTTCCCTCTGTGTGTCTGTGTGTCTATCTCAATGTGTATCCCCCCTCTTATAAGCCTAAAACTCAACCCTTTAACAGCATGTTTATCAATCAGAAAAACCCCTCCCATGTGCTGTCTTCTTTTCAGTTTCCACTTACTATTTAAATAAAAACACACCCCCATGATATTCCCTGGCAGACTTACCTTTTGAGTAAGGTTTATTATTTCTGAATTAAAGCAGAATATGGGCAGCAGAATGTAATCTGACAACATATGCTGTCAAACTATTTTAAACCAAAAATGGCCTTTATGCACATGTTGTGCACAAGTGCACATGCCCTCCAATTCAGATTGCAGCTAACAATCTAACCTTTTTATTTTCAGATTCAAATACAGCAACTATAAGTAGCCATACTTGATTCTTACTTTGATTCAAACAAANATTCTGCACTCTCTTTTTATTATATTTTTTATTTTAAAACAAAACCTAAGTAAATCAAATTAAAATTTATTACTTAAACATTTAATACAATTATTTGCACACATATATTAAAATATTTAAAGCAAGTAAAATCAAACAAAATAACAATCACGGACAAAGATGCATATTTATGATTTTTCTATTTAATAACCGAATTACGGTTCAAACTGCACATGACACACACATTTTTTGTATTTTGTTTTAATAATAATAAAAAATGGACAAAAATCATAGATAATTAACAAAATGCCACGTGAAAAATCCAAAAATTGTACAGCAAGATCGATCGCTATTATTTTTTGTTTCTTTTGGAGTGATTGTCGCGTAAAACAAAAATCACGTGCTCACAGTCACAAAACTAAAGTTGTGCAAACTGACTTCGTTTCCTTTTAAATCCTATAATGGGATTAAATTTGATATGTTCTTTTTTAGAATCTTGCATGCACATTTAATGTCCAAATTTGGGTCTACATAATGTGTTTATCTATAGAAGAGCTAGGCTCATGACTATCATCTTGTACGTCCAATCTTTTTTTTTTGGTTCCATATATTTAGTCCAGGCATTCAATGTATTTGGGTGATATGATGGGTGCTATGAGCATTCTTTGACCAGATTCTCTTGAAGGGTAATGACTTTATTTATCCTCTTTTGTAGGTGAAGTAGATCAAGAAATGGAAGATGAAGGCAGTGAAGATCTAGACCTTACTTAAGATGAATTTTGAATTGCTACAGATGAATGTTCTAGGAATCTTTTGTTATCAACATTTTGAAACTTACTGTCTTGAAATATATTAAACTTATGAATTTAGGGTAGAACATTTTCTTTATGGATATTATTAGCTTGTTGGACAAATTTATATTATTAATAGTTTCATTTTGTGATTTATTTAAATTTTACTGTTATTATAATTTATTTTATACATAAATATTTATTTACAAAAGGGACTATAACTCAACTGTTACAATAGCTTACCAAAACCGTTGCAATAGGACACAAAGGACGTTCCATTAGAGAATGTAAACCATTGCAATAAGTATGGTACACCGTTACAAAATGTCTTATAAACCATTTCAATAGGTAGTTAAAACCGATGCATTAGATACTATGGTAACAGTTATGAACCGTTGCATATACAATATAGTAATGGTTTTAAACCGTTCCAATTGGTAAGAATAATCATTCCAAGAGAGGAAGGGAAAATCTTGCGATAGATGTCTTTATAGCAACGGAGATGCAAACCGTTGCAAGAGTCGTTCCTGCTCTATTGGCACGCTGGCTGATGGAACGGTCTGTAAACCGTTCCAATATCTTTATGACAATGATTTAACTATCTATTGGAATGGTATTCCATGCGTTACCATAGACCAATATTTTAGTAGTGAAAATCCCGGATTTCACATTGTTGTGCTGCTTTGAGGTGACACACACGCTAGATGACGAGCGTGGGGTCGTGCACTGTTGGGGATTATGACTTAGTCCATCCCTTATGACTATTTAACCGCGTATTTGATTGAAAACTGTTTGCTATCATCATGTTTTGGGCTAAATTGTCACGTCCCCGGTTCGCCCTCCGTGAACCATCGTGACGACACCTAGTCTCTACGACTAGATAACCTAACAATGTGGAATATAAATAATAATTGCAGAAGAAATAATTAAAAACTGAAATAGTAAAATAAAACAGTGTTTAAGGTTCCGCTCGGCACATACAATAACAACTCTCGAAGCTAACAACAATTCTCAAAACCCGGAATCTCATGAATCACAAGCTATACATAAGAAGCTCTAACTCCGAAAATGTCTAAACAAAGGAAAATTACTAAAGGGCTATA